CTCTAGTCGTATAGCAAATCTTTAGATATGAACCATAAAAAAGAAGTTTGATTGAATTTCTTTTTTTTCTTGCATTTTTCTGGACTGTTAAAAAAATAAAACACCTGTAACTCTGTGTGTTTGTTTGTGTTTTTTAGATCTCAGAGAAACCAGCGAGGATAAAAGGTTTGGGATGGCGGAAGCTCCGACATCAAGCACATCTCTTAGCTTATAGTGTGAGATGATTGTCGTTTTTCTTTTTGTTTGGAAATCAAATGCATCTCTCCATCCAACATGGTCTAATCGGGTTAAAGCAGAGCCGTTCTTTGTGACAGATATTATGGGCAGTAGCTTGATTAGAAATTGGTAAGTTAAGTCACAAAATCAAATTAGAGAGTCTTTCTGTTGCAGCTCTCAGCTGCAGCCTGAAGGTCCCAGAAACAGGACTTATGCTGCCTTCATGGGGTCTTGTATCCTTACGATGATTGTTACAAGCGCATTGTGTTCCAGTGCTTTTATTGTGATAGAGAGAAACATTTTGGCTTCAAAGATTATCCTGACCTGCTACTTGGGTAAGACAGTTAGACTTCCTAGTTCATACAGAAAGAAGAGGACGCATCATATGCATGGACAAACCGCTAGCAAGCATCTGATATAATCAAATGGTCAACATTTAAAAGTTTAAACGTTGATATATTTAAAAATATGTCACAGCATTGTGTAGGCTGCAAGAACAACAGGAGGGAACGCTTAACGATGCAGTATTCACCATACAGAATCATTTCACTGCTCTCCGCCATGTTGAAAAGGTCAAAGTTTATCTCATCTCGGCAACTCGGGTATCATAGAATTTTTGCGGGGGGGTGTTCATGTGCACTTTTGATTTCAGTTTTGGTATTTACCATAATTACAAGACCACATGAAGGCAGCATTAGTCCTGCTTGTGTTTACAAACAAAATAATGATCCAATCTTAGGTTCACCAGTGGTTCTTCCTGGGAAGGTTCAGACAAGGCGAAGTCTGTTCAGCTCTAAGCTTGGGCTGGGTGATAAATTTGTTTAATTGGGAGTTTAAGATTTATTTTTAGGGTCCTCTTTTTTTTTTACCTGTGCACTCATTGGGTGTCCATAGTTCACAGTGACATTAGTTTATGGCTGAGTCCGAACGTCCGCCCTAACCTCTAAATCCCTCAATCACTATATAGAGCGGGGATTATATAGTGGACTTTATAGTGAACTCAGATAACTGACCGTTCGGACAGATGATCACTGCTTTTTGGGCCCTGTTGGTCACGTGACTCCGCCTCCACCACACAGTGCCTGCGCCATCTTTGTTATTTGTTGACGCTGTTGGGTAGCGAAAGCGGGCCGCTGTAAAAAACAAATAATGGTTTGCGAGGAGAGCTCTCCTTTAGCATTAAAGGAATAGTACACCCAAAACATGATTAGCCTTCATTTTCTACTCACCCCCATGCTGAACAACACTCTGGAGTACTTTTTTGATATCTCAAATGCATCTGGAGATCTGGGAGGCTTCTTGCTGTCTGCTGACATTTAAATAATGGAGGTCTATGGTGACCGAGGCAGAAAGGTCCATAAAAGTCCACAAAAAACGTGTCAATATTCCTCCATACTGCTCGTCCAATGTATTCCAAGTGTCCTGAGTGGGTAGCATCCAGAATTTACTCGAAACGAAGTCATTTAGAATGTTTTTAGAGCATAAACAGTAGTGTATAGGATTTCCTGAAAGCGCGTTCACGAGTCTACGGAAACCGCGGCAGACCAAACCAGATGTAAGTGCGCATTCAGCTCGGCAAAGAACTCATGCTCTTCCTCAACACTGAAGTCCTCAGACATTTTTCTTTCGTTGTTTCTTTCTTTGCACAGGTAAACAGCACATTTCTTCTTCTACGCTTGCATTATCGGCAGAGCAGACGCTGAATGCGCACTTTCATCTGGTTTGGTCTGCCGCAGTTTCCGTAGACTTGTGAACGCGCTTTCAGGAAATCCTATACACTACTGTTTATGCTCTAAAACGTTCTAAATGACTTCGTTTCGAGTAAATCATGGACGCTACCCACTCAGGAAACTTGGAATACATTGGACGAGCAGTATGGAGGAATATTGACACGTTTTTTGTGGACTTTTATGGACCTTTCTGTCTCGGGCGCCATAGACCTCCATTATTTGAATGTCAGCAGACAGCAAGAAGCCTCCCAGATCTCCAGATGCATTTGAGATATCAAAAAAGTACTCCAGAGTGTTGTTCAGCATGGGGGTGAGTAGAAAATGAAGGCTAATCATGTTTTGGGTGTACTATTCCTTTAAGGGATATATCTGCTCATCAATGACCATGGATAATCGCTACTTTTCAAGTTGCATTGTGGGAAAGTTCGAGTCCACTACTTTTTCATCCTCTAGACATTTGGACTCTCATCTAAAATGGTGTAACCACCATGTAGTGCCCTATATAGTGGTTAGGGCGAACATTCAGACACAGCCCTTCACCTTTTGGTTCTTAGATACATACCCTATGCAAAAAACTGAGCTAACTTCGTTGATACCAATATCTAAAACCATTTTCTCCAGTGGTGGTTCTAAACCAACTTTAGAAGGGGGGGGCCAAGGTAGGGTAAACAAAAACATGAAACCAAAAAACATGCTAATGGTTCATTGTTTTAGATATTAGGTGAAGAGTGGAACCAGAGCTACTTGTGCATTTAGTGATATAAAGATATAGAATATAAAAAGAAGCGGTGAACCGATTCATGAAGCCTGATTTTATTAATTTTGGTGGATCATTGATCGGCCGGTAAATGAAATCAATGCTGACTGCAGATTTTATCTACCTCTGCAAAGCTTATAGTCTGTTAATATCAATATTCTGAGCTCTTCATTTATATCTGAGAGTATTAGCTTGTTCAGTTGAAACAAGTTTTGTTTTTATTGTTTCACAGGTGGTGTTCTTTTTTTTTTTATAAATGAGACTGACAGCTGTTATAAAGACAATCTAAAAAGTATGTCAGGCTTTTTAAAGACTGTGTATCGGCCAGAAATCTGAAATCATTTAAAAACATCTTATCTTGACATGACACCAAAAGGGAAACATCCTCATTGTTAAAATAGAAATGTTAAGATAAAAAAAGAAATAGACTCCAGGGACCAATCAGTTATAGTTTTTATGATCATGAAAATTTATTTGATATTATGCAAGAAGAAAAGGGACTCAAAAGGGTCCAGGATCAGTTCTACAGGTCCACTGGCCCCTGGTGGCCCCTGTCAAAAAAAAACAAAAAAACACCCATTATTTTGCTGTATTTTCATTGTTTCCAACAGCAGTATGTTTTTCCAAGTAAGTTTCCAAGCTTGTGCTTCACTTTGAATTACCTCCCAGTAGTGATTTTCCAAAGGTTTGTCTGTTAGTAGATTGATTTTTTTTTTCAATATTTCAGCCTTATTTATAATTATCATAATTTATTAATGGTAGAGAAAATGACAACAAGAAACTGTTTATAAAGGTAAAATCTCTTTTGAAACAACCTAAGGCCTTTTTATTTTTTTTTTTTTACAAATTTACCTCTGCTGATAAATGGAGAATATTCGTCATAATGATGCTAGTTTTATATCTGAACTCCAACTTGTTACTGTGGTTATTTATATCATTGCAAACTATTGGTTTGTCTTTTAAAATTGAACAGCAATTAACACAAAGTTACACTTTGTATCAGTCTTCTGTAATCTTTTACAGTCCATGAAGGCAAAAGCAAAGTTTTAAAAAGGTAATCAAGAGATTAAATTATAATAAAGATATTTACCTTCGATTTTTTATTGATTTATCTGATCTTCATATTTCAATAAAATAAACCTGTTTGATATCTATAAAAGCTGTTAACCTCTATTTTTAACTAAATAAAAGCTTTTTTAAAAATGCAGTTTTGTCTCTCCATTATTTTGTGTTATTGAATGATGTTTACAGAAGCCCAATGTTGGGCTCTGTCAGGGTTTGGTTGAGGTTTTGAGGACCCAAATGCAGAGGCAGGGAGGCAGAGGTGAGTTCTTGTAGTTTTTATGTAGTGTTCACAGGTAACAAAGACAGGAATCCAAGAAAACCAACTTAAAAATGCAAGACAAACCAGACCAATGGAGACATCAGGGAAGACATGCACTAGAAGCCGGGGAAAGACGAGGAACCAGCACTGAGGAGCTGCACATGGAGAGAATTTATGGCTGACTGAACAAAGACAGGACTAAGGAGCTGATTGGGAGCAGGTGTGAACAGAGGGTTCTAGAAAGGAGCTCGGGAAAAAGGGACCAACACAAGAGGGCAACAAAGAAAAAACTAAGAACTCAAATACATCCAAAAAACACAACAAAATAGGAACTAAACCAACAAAACTAGAAAACAAAGAAAAAATGAATCAACATGAAACTGAAAATTCAAAGAAAACTGAACAGAACCAAGACCATGATAGGCTCAGGTGGACACACCTTTTTTCCGGTCCTTATTAAGACATTGTGTTAAACTTAACCCTAAATTTGTACCTAACCCTTGCACCTTACCATAAATCTATCAATTATCTCTGCACAGTTGCACCTTCTGAAACAAACTGACACTTTAGACGTTTACTGCTAACCCTGCAAAGGGTGGTCAACTCCTGATAAAGCCCGCTGGTCTTGTGACTATAGGTGATTATACCAGAAAAAGGTCCTGAAGGAGTAAATTAAATAAGCACGCAGACACTTAAAAGGCTTAGTATTTAAATGTTGACTTCAGTCAAAATAGACATCTTTAAATAGGCAAGCAAACAAGAATTATGAAACAGAGGTCAAGAAGCTGACTTTTTTATGCACAACAGTGCCCTCCGGTGGCCAGATAAAGTTTATTCCTGTTGGAAAGTGAAATAAGTGGGGAAAAAAACATGTTTGTTTTTGAGTTTTTATCCGAGAAGTATTCCTATTTTTATTTTAAGAATCTTACCATTTCTAAATGATCAAAGAAAATCAGGACACAGTCTCTTCTGCTTTGAAGCCTCTTTTATTATGAAGTATTGTCACAAAAGTGGAAGTTGTTTGGTCGTAGAATTCATTAGTATATAAAGATAATGTGCTGTTCAATGCTGAGATTGTTACTTTAAATTTTATTTTTTAAGACCTCATTGGAGACGTCAGGAAGATCAGAACCGATCGAATCTGCATGGATCAACCATCTAGAACAGCTTTTCATGATCAGATGCACAAGATCCATCTCTGTGGACACAGAGGGAGGTTTGTCCCTCCTGGTCTTCAGACGGCGGTCAGCGGTGTAGCTACTCTGAAAAGGCTGTAAAGAATCGTTGACTTCCCGTCTGTCAGGGTCCCTCTACTCTCGCTCTGCAATGGCAACAAGGTGGGCTTCAATCTCAGCCTCTGTTAGGGTCCTGCAGGAATACAAATACATGAATTTAGGAGCCTTCCTGGAGTATTTTACATTTTATGATTTTAAAATACTTTAACAGGATTTTATTTGCTACATCCGCAGATAGTTGCACAGAATAATAAAGCAAACAGAATAAATACGCCTTAAACATTCAAAATATAATATTATGATTCAAATTATCATGTTATTCAACATGTTTTGTCACTAACAGATTTATGTCCCATTAAGTCAAATTTACAGGTAATGAAAACTCATAAATTTCCAGATCCAGCTGGATTTATTTATTTATTTATTATCTCCATAAAGCATATGAGCAGAAATAAAGAATGAAGCCTAAAATGTGATGCTAGATGAGGGGTCTGCAACCTTTCAAATCCAAAGAGCCATTTTAGCCATGCACAACTACATTACTTTTAAATTTAACAACAAATATTTTTGTTAAATATATGCTATAGGAAATCAGCTGCCATTTTAATCAAAAACAAACTTTTTG